TAGAAAAATTAGAAAAAGTAGAGCAGAACCAAAAAACTCCGTGATGAAAAATACTGGCTTATGTTCTGATGATTTTGTTATTTATGGCTGATTTGGGATGTTCGGCTTACATAATTGCTACTGGAAACAAAAATCAAATTTAAATTATGAACGACAACAATAATCAAAGTGCAAGTTATTTAGAACAAACCAAAAAAGGAGTGGTAGATTTGTTTCACTCTATTTCGACCAAAATGGGAGAGTGACTGGAAAATGCTTATCAGCAAGGCAAAAAAGACGGAAAAGAAGAAGGAAAAGGAAATAAATAATGCCACCAATCGCAGATTTTTTAGAAAGGATTAAGAGAATACGAGAAAACGAAAGGGAAATAGTTCGCTTAAACGATTTATCCGCCCTTAAAGTTGGGCAAGAACTAATGGCCAAGAAATTAGTTGATAATATCAATGCTTATGAAAAAAATAATAAGCGAATACAAAACAAAGTTAAAGCCTTAGAAGTCGAAATCGAAGTTATTACCCAAAACTTAATTACCAAGGAACAAAATCTTGTTCTGCAAAAACAAATCTAAATATATTAATAGCGTTATGAATAGCGAAGAAATTAACGAAACTCAAGTGGCCGTTGACCCTCAATGCGAAAAATATCGGCAAACCATTGAGGCTTTCGAAAAAACTATCCAAGAAAAAGAAGGAGAACATTCCAAAGCTGTTTATGAAAAAGAGTTGGAAATTAAGAATATTAAAGAACATGTGGCCGGTAAAGATAAAGTTATTTTGGAATTGCGTGGAGAAAGGGATGTTTTAGAAAAAAGAGTGAAGGAAGCTGAAAATACTATCTTGGCTCAACAATATTACAAAGATCAAGTCGAAGAAAGAAAAATTATAGTAGAAAAAAAATGATATTTCTGTTTGTTTCCACGCGTTTTTTAATTTCTCTCCACCACGGGATATTATTAAAGTAATACGTTGGTTTTATCTATTCTTGCTCGCTTCAAAAATATTTAATTATGAATAACGCCCAAGAGAAAGAAATCATTTCCCGATTTACTGAAAATCTTAACCAGAAGGAGAGAATTGCCGAATTAACCATCATTGGTCGAGAAGAAGAAATTAAACAAGTGACTTATGTTTTGTCCCGCATGATTAAGAATAACCCTTTATTAATCGGGCCTCCGGGCGTGGGAAAAACGGCTATTGCGGAGGGATTGGTACAAAGAATTAAACGCGGTCAAGTCCCCGATTATTTAAAGAACAAGGTCATTTATCAGTTAAATATGATGGCTTTAATGGCTGGCACCAAATTCCAAGGAGAATTAGAAGAAAGACTAAAAACCATTTTCCGTTTCATGGGTCAACCGGAAAATAACGCTATCCTTTTCATTGATGAAATCCATTTAATTGTGGGAGCCGGCCGCAGCCAAGGAACCCTGGATATTTCTAACCTTCTCAAACCTCTGCTTTCAAGAGGAGAAATCCAGTGCCTTGGAGCCACCACCCAAGAAGAATACCGAAAATATATTGAAAAAGACGGAGCCCTAACTCGCCGTTTTAGCAATATTTACGTGCGTGAGCCCAGTGAGAAAGAAAGCATTGCAATTTTACGAGGTAACAAAAATAACCTAGAAATCTACTACGAATTAAAAATTCAGGACGAGGCTCTGGTTGCCGCTGTCAAAATGTCCCAACGTTATTTAACCTCTACTTATCTTCCTGACAAAGCCGTTGATTTAATTGACGAAACTTGCGGTCGTATCCGTAGCGAAATGTGATACGAACCCGAAATAATTACCCAGACGAAGAAAAAATTACAAGAGTTAGAAATCCAGCAAGTCTCCTTTTCTTCTAACCAAGACAACAACTTAGAGTTAACCGTTTTACAAGAGAAAATTGAACAACAAAAGCAAAAACTAACCAAATTAAGCCAACAAGACCACCAAGAAAGCACCCGCATTCAGCAATTAAACCAAGCCCAAAAAAACCTCGCCC